TGCTACAAGTTCCCAAAATAACGGGCGCATATACCAACTAGTGCACGCTTCCGTCTTAACTCGGTCACAGCGCTGTGGTGTTGAGGCGCGGGGTGTGGGGGGCGGTGTGTGAGGCGCGGGGGTGCTGGTGGGGTTGGTGTGGAGGCGGGCGGGGTGCCTGTGTGGGGGTTGGTGGTGTGAGGGAGGCGCGGGGGTGCTGGGTGGGCTGTGTGAGGCGCGGGGGTGCTGGTGGGGTGTGTGTGAGGCGCGCGGGTGCTGGGTGGGGTGTGTGTGAGGCGCGGGGTGCTGGGGTGGGGGTGTGTGTGAGGCGCGGGGGTGCTGGGGTGGGGGTGTGTGTGAGGCGCGGGGGCTGGCTGGTGGGGGTGTGTGTGAGGGCGCGTGGGTGCTGGGTGGGGGTGTGTGTGAGGCGGCGGGGTGCTGGTGGGGGTGGGTGTGTGAGGCGCGGGGTGCTGGTGGGGGTGGTTGTGTGAGGCGGGCGGGTGGCTGGTGGGGTGGGGTGTGTGAGGCGGGGGGTGTGGTGGGGTGGTGTGGTGAGGGGGCGGGGGGTGTGGGGTGGGGTGTGTGAGGCGCGGGCGTGCTGGTGGGGTGTGTGTGAGGCGCGGGGGTGCTGGGGTGGGGCTGTGTGAGGCGCGGGGGTGCTGGTGGGGGTGTGTGGAGGCGGCGGGTGCTGGGTGGGGTGGTGTGAGGCGCGGGGGTGCTGGTGGGGTGTGTGAGGCGCGGGGTGCTGGGGTGGGGGTGTGGTGAGGCGCGGGGGTGCTGGTGGGGTGTGTGTGAGGCGCAGGGGTGCTGGGGTGGGGGTGTGTGTGAGGCGCGGGGGTGCTGGGGTGGGGGTGTGTGTGAGGCGCGGGGGTGCTGGTGGGGTGTGTGAGGCGCGCGCGGGTGCTGGTGGGGTGTGTGTGAGGCGCGGGGGTGCTGGTGGGGTGTGTGTGAGGCGGGTGCTGGTGGGGTGTGTGTGAGGCGCGCGGGTGCTGGTGGGGGTGGTGTGTGAGGCGCGGGGGTGCTGGTGGGGTGTGTGTGAGGCGCGGGGGTGCTGGTGGGGGTTGGTGTGTGAGGCGCGCGGGTGCTGGTGGGGTTTGGTGTGTGAGGCGCGGGGGTGCTGGTGGGGTTTGGTGTGTGAGGCGGGCGGGTGCCTGTGTGGGGGTTGGTGTGTGAGGGGAGGCGCGGGGGTGCTGGTGGGGTGTGTGTGAGGCGCGGGGGTGCTGGTGGGGTGTGTGTGAGGCGCGGGGGTGCCTGTGTGGGGGTTGGTGTGTGAGGGGAGGCGCGGGGGTGCTGGGGGGAGGGTGTAAGGTGTGTGGGGATAATAATAATACTTGCATTTGATATAGCACTTTTCACATCTTCTTGACGTCTCAAAGTGCTGCACAGAATATACTGTGAAGTGAATTGACTATATCTGTGGGCAAAACGTAGGGGATAAGACGTGCGGGGGGAGGGGGTAAGGCGTGCGGTGGGGGAGGCGTGTGTGGGGCGGGGAGTAAGGAAAGGGATGGTTTACTCTCCTCACAGTGGTCTGTAAGGGCCGATCTATTAGCTGGACTGCCCGCTCCCTCACTATCAGTTTGATTTCCTGCCCCCTCACTATCAGCGGCCATGCTTTCTGCCCCCCCAACCCGAGAGTCTGGGGTAACTGCAAACCAGGAATTTTAAAAATGAGAGGAAAGGAAATTCAGGAAACGAGCAGCAACTCAGTGAGAGAGCGGGGTGGTGGGGGTAAGTTAAAAATTGAGGGTTTGGGGGGTGAGGATTGGTTCTGTCCTAATGGGTGAGTTCCCGAGAGCTTGACCCTTGCCCATGTGCCCTTTGCAGCTGCTGTTTAACCTGCTGCCTCTTTTGTCTGTTGGTTTTGGGGGATTGAGCAAGCACCAGTTCTGCAGACACACACACCAACAACAACTTGCCTGTATATAAGCTCCTTCCATGCAGGGTGTCTGACTGGTGTGGTGTGAATGATGCGGAAAGTTTCAGCCCACCACCCCAGTGTTTATACTCCACAAAAGCCCTTCTCTGTTCGCTTGTTGCTTAACTTGTTGCAGAGATTTGCATTGATACTGCTGTTTTATATAGGTTATTTTTGTGTGTGTTATTTCTTTTTGTGCCCCAATTGGATCTCCATCTCCGCCTTTCTTCGTGTTCTCCCCGACCTATCCAGTCAGACATTGGTGGTCGTGTCTTCAGCTATTACAGCTGGAGCTCCATAACTCCCTCTCTCAATCCCTCTGCTTTGCCCCCCTCTTTGGCCGTTTTAGGATTGAACCTGAAAACCTTCTTCTTCGACCATGCCTACGGTTACCTCCTCTTTCTCACCGTCTCGAAGTCAAACTATGCCTTATTAAAAGCTCCCAAGATGCTACCCCACGTGAAAGGTGGTGTATAATTGCAAGTCGTTGTTGTGCTCTCGGTAACCTGGTGCCAGACATGCTGGAATCTTTTTCCTTAGTCTCTGCTGCTGTGGGATGTTAATTTACACCGAGGTTTTTATTTAAGCGTATTCTGTATTACTGCATTGGCTGTTTCTGTCAGGCGGTTGGGAAAGAGGCGTCCCAGACTAATGAGAGACGGGGAAGAGAAGGACATGGGCCCTTTTTCTTTATTGTTTCCAAATGCGTAGAAACAGGAGTAGGCCATTTAGCCCCTCGAGTCTGTTCTGCCATTCAAAAAGATCACGGCTGATTTGTACCTCGACTCCAAATACCCGCCTTATATCCCTTGATATTCTTACCTAACAAATATCTATCCAGGATCCACAGTCTTTTAGGGAAGAGAGTTCCAGATTTTCACAACCCTTTATGTGAAAAAATGCTTCCTGATTTCACTCCTAAATGGCTCAGCTCTAATTTTAAGATGATGCCCCCTTGTTTTGGATTCCTCACCAAAGCAAATCTCTATCTTCCCCATCAAATCCTTTTATCATTTTAAACTCTCAATCAGACCACCCCACAATCTTCTAAACTTGAGGGAATACAGGCAAGTTTATGCAGCCTGTATCCACCAGCATAGTTTCCACTGATGATGGGGGCATAGGGGATAACTGGCATCACACACAGCATGAGTCAGAAAGGCTCAGAGGATCAACTGAGATTCAGCTATTCTGACTTTCAGCCTTACGTCTGTATTCCTTTGACTTATTGTTGTACCTTTACTGAGCAGTGGAGCTTGTGAAAAAGTAGATGTTTTGGCTGGTGGAAAGGACAAAATGATTAATGCCAGGTGGATGGTTAATTGCCCAATGTGCCCACGCTGGTATGGTCTGAGATGCCACAGAGTCATGGTGAGACTGAGTGCTGAAATGCTGTCTATTTTAGTTAGTGTATGGAATACGCTGCCGGGAGCGGTGGTTGACGCCGCATTCATATTAGCTTTCAATAGGGAACTAGATTTACCTAGTAAATAGGAACCTGGATGTTAGTTGATGAGTGGAACGTGTTCCAGATTAATAATCCCTCAAAAATAGATTGATTACTTAATCCACGACTGTTTGTGGGACATTGCTGTGTGCAATTGTCTGCCGTGTTTCGTCCACAAAATATAGTTAATTCACTTTACAATACATTTTGTGAAGCACTACAAGTATTATTATTAAAACAGCATTGAAGAGTTTATGAAGTTAGTCTGGTGTCCTGGCCTCTATCTCCAGTCCACTTGTTGATTTATCCTGTGTCAATGAATAGCATCCATCCTAAAGTTGCCAACCACAGCCTTGAACCTGTGCCTTCTTGCCCCTGCTGTCTTGGCTCAGGTCTGAAGTAAGCCATCTGTTGAGAGATTTACATAAGTTTAACAGCACGGACACTACAGCCATTCAGCCCAACCAGTCTGTGTCAGTGTTTATACTCTGCATAAGTCTCCACTCACTCCTTACTCCCTCCTCCATCCTTCTATTCAACCTCATGTGCATATGTAGCTTCCTCTTAAACACATCTATACTATCTGCTTCAACCACAACTTTAGGCAGCAAGTTCCACATTCTCACTACCCTCTGCGTGAAGTAGTTCCTCCTAAATTCTTTTTTCGATCCCCTAGTTGCTATCTTACACTAGTGTCCCTGGGTACAAGTCAAAACAGCCTATTTACGCTTATCTTATTGAACCCTTTTATAATTTTAAACAACTCTGTTAAGTCCCCTCTTAAACGTCTCTAGTCTGACCTATCCAGTCTTGTAAACCCACGCTGTACTCAATCCGTCGCTGCTATATATCCTTCAGGGATTTGATTGTTTGCTGTAACCTTTCTCCTTTTTCCTTCAGCAGTGGAAGAGTCTGACAGCGATATTTATATGAGGTTCATGAAATCCCACAAGTGCTATGACATTGTCCCCACCAGCTCCAAGCTCGTTGTATTTGACACTTCATTGCAAGTAAGGTGCTTTATGTTCTTCTCAGAACCCAAGTAACTGTGCTGCATGTGTTCAAGTACTAATGTTTGTGTGGAATTCATGTCACGTGTGTTTCTTGGTTTGAAAGCGCTGTACAGTGAGGGGCAGTTAGTAGAGTTCAGGTTTGCTGTACAAGAGTGTTAGGATGTGGGTTGTATCCATCCATCGATCCTTCTGGCTTTTTGAGGTTTAAGCAGGAGGTTTGGAAAAGTCATCAGAGGGATACTGACTTGAGGCGGCCGAGTGTTGTAGTGACCTCACTTCTTGAACCTATCAGTGTGAAGTTGAATTCATAGGAACAGGGGTAAGCCATTCAGCCTATTAAGCCTTTTCTGCCATTCTATTAGATCATGGCTGATCTGTGCTTCAATTCCAATTACCTACAAACAAAACACAAAATACTACAGATGCTGGAAATCTGAAACAAAAACAGAGAGCTGGGAAAACTCAGTAGGTCAGGCAGCATCTATGAAGAAAAGAAAGTGAGTGAACGTTTCAGGTCCACGACCCTTCCATCAGAACTGGGGCATGTTGGGAGGGAGAGGTTTTTAAGGACAAGTTGAGAGGGGGAGGCAGGACAAGGAAGACAAAGAAGATAAAGGAGAGAATGTGTTAGTTGATGGGTTAAAGAGGTGATAGTGGTGTAATACAAAAGGGGGGTTGAAACAAAACTGGGGAGAAGAGGTCTTAATGTTGCAGAACAGGCCATGAGTTTGTTTTAATTCACAGTCACAGTCTCCATCCATGGCTACTCTGTTCCAATGATCCACAGCGAAAGCTTGAGGAACAGCATCTTATCTATCGGCTACGGCCCTACAGCCCTCTGGCCTCGATATCGATTTCAGCCACTTCAGACCATAACAACTCACTTTCCCCCCCTCCCCCTCTTTCTGTTACCAGAAGTTATATTCTGTTATCATTACAATCATCACCACAGACATTGTTTGCCTCTCTCTGGTGTGTTGCTTATACTGCACTATTAACTCCTCTTCTCCCCAGTTTTGTTTCAACCCACCCCCTTTTTCGTTTTGCAAACCCCCTTTTGTATGACACCACTGTTGCCGCTTTAACCCATCAACTAAGAAGATTATCTCATTTGCCTTCTTTTTTGTTTTCTTTGTCTTCCTTGTCCTGCCTCCCCCTCTCAACTTGTCCTTAAAAACTTCTCCCTCCCAACATGCCCCAGTTCTGACGAATGGTCATGGACTTGAAACGTTGACTCACTTTCCTATCTTCATACATGCTGCCTGACCTGCAGAGTTTTCCCAGAGTTTTCTCTCTGTTTTTTGTTTCCAATTACCCACATTTACTCCATATCCCTTGAAACCCCATACCTTTAAAAGGATCCGGCATCCACAGTCTTATAGGAAGAGAGTTCCAGATTTCCACTACCTTTTGCTCTAAGTTTAAGATTATGCCCCCTTGTTCTGGAGAGGAAATAGTTTCTCTGTAGCTACCCTATTGAATTCCTTTATCATTTTAAACACCTCAATCAGATCCCTCTTCAACCTTCTGAGGCAGCAGCATCTATGGAGAAAGGAAAGTGAGTCAACGTTTCAGGTCCACGACCATTCGTCAGAACTGGGGCATGTTGGGAGGGCAAGGCTGTAGGGGCTAACAGAGAAGGGAGAGGCAGGACAAGGAAAACAAAGGAGAAAATGGGGTAGAGGACAGGGGATGATGGGGTAAAGAGAGAGTTAATGATGCAAAACAAAGGGGGGGTTGCAACAAAACAGGCAGACCAGAGAGAGAAAAGGTGCCTGGGACCTAGATGATGTGGTGATGGTCACAGAAGAGGGGGAAGGTGAGGTGTTATGGTCTGGAATTATTGAAATCTTTATTGAAGACAGGGCTGTAAATTCCCTCGCAGATAAATGGGGTGCTGTTCCTTGAGCTTTTGCTGCGGTTTCATTGGAACAGTGAAGGAGACCGTGGATGGAGAGGTCAGAGTGCAAGTGGGGGGGAGAGTTGAAGTGGCAAGAAACCGGAAGCTCAGGGTTGTGCTTGTGACAGAACAGAGGTGTTCGGCAAACCAATCTGCGTTTGGTCTCCCCAATGTAGAGGAGACCACATCGTGAGCAGCGAATGCAGTAAACTACATTGGTGATAGTACACGTAAATCGCTGTCTCACTTGAAAACTGTGATTGGGGCCCTGGACAGTGGTATTAGAGGAGGTGAAAGGGCAGAAATTGCATGTCCTGCGCTGGCATGGGAAGGTGCCGGGGGGGAGAGCAACTGTTGGTGGTGATGGAGGAATGAACCGGGGAATCACGGAGGGAACGGTCTCTTCAGAATGCTGAGAGGGGAGTAGAGGGAAAGATATGTTTGGGGGTTGGATCTGGTGTGAAAGGTGGCAAGCAGGGCAGATGCGGTGGTGGTGGAGGAACTGGGAAACGGGAATGGAATCTTTACAGGAGGTGGGGTGGGAGGAGGTGTAGTCCAGGCTTGTAAAAGATAATCTATGCCTCGAGATGGTGAAGTTGAGGAAGGGAAGACTCAGAGATGGACCCCGTGAGTGTTATGGAGGGGTGGAAGGTTGAAACGAAATTAGTGAATTTTTCCAGCTCACTGCGAGAGCAGAAGCAGCCCCAACACAGTCCGCTCCCTGCCCAATGAGAAACAGGGCAGGGAGCGGACCAGATAACGAACTTCTTTAATCCATCATCTCCTGTCCTCTACCCCATTTTTTTCTTTGTCTTCCTTGCCCTGCCTCTCCCCTCTCTCTTAGCCCTTAAAAGCCTCGTCCTTCTGACATGTCCTAGTTCTGACGAAGGGTTGTGGACCTAAATGTTGACTCACTTTCCTTTTTCTATAGATGCTGAGTGTTCCAGCAACTTCTGTTTTTGTTTTAGATTTCCAGCATCTGCAGTCTTTTGCATTTTGTTTATACCCCAAATAAACTTTCCTCAGCCACTTACTCCTTGGCTGTTTGTGGTACACTGCTGTGCCGAACTGGTTTCACCCACAAAATACAGTCAGTGCACTTTACAGTATATTCTGTGAAGCACTTTGAGATGTTTCAACGATGTGATAAGGCACTATATCAAATGCAATAATTATTGTTATTATTAGTGTATTTAAGAGAAAACTTTATACAGATGCTTGAGGGAGAAAAGAATAAAGGAGTGGTGGCACTGAGGATGGGGGAGGTGGTGGAGGCTTTTGAGGAGTAGTAAGCACCGCTGTGGATTAGTTGGGCCAAATAACCTGTGCCCATGCAATAGCAGTCTTACTATTTGAGTTGCCTGTGATGGTTGTTTTGGACGAGTTTTCTCAGAGCTCTGGGGCAAGACCCTGGGGAATGTTGGCTGGGGAATTGGATAAGGAAGCAGCAGCAACAACAACAAAATTACATTTATAGAGCGCCTTTCACATCTGGAGGACGTCCCAAAGCGCTGACATTCAGGTGACGGGGCCTGAGCATTGGGGCGTTGTGGTGTAGGGGTGAGGGAAGCCAGAGAGGTGGGAGGGCGACCAAAGGCACGGCGAAGAGAAGGGTCTTAAGACCGGCCTTGAAGGAGGCAAGGGAGGAAGCGAGGTGAAGGGACCGTGGGATGGAGTTCCAGAGTGTGGGGGCAGAGAGGCTGAAAGCCCGGCCACCGATGATACAAGATAGCACAACAAGAAGAGCAGAGTAAACCATAAGCCATTTCTTATTCTACTCCTTTTTTACTCCCCCCTTCAAGGAATGTAGATAAAAGAACAGGAGAAGCCCTTCCAAGCCCCCTGTTATTGGGTTTTGGCAGGCCTTTCAATTAAAGCACTTTGACATTTGTTTTATAATAATAATCAACTGAACCAGGCTGACATTTAATATAATTGATAAGAAACAAAGTAAATTGTATATAGGCAAATGCAATAGCTAATCTGCGGCGGCAACCACTCATAAAACAATCAGACAAGCAATCAGTTAATTTGAAGCACGGGTGCTAAGAGCAGGAAGTGACATCAGCGATGTTTCCCGTGCAGCGCCTGCAGGAAGTGACATCAATCAGTGATCTGCCAAACCAGGGCTCAGTCACTTCTTAAGCACTGGTTAACAAAGGTCCACAGGGCACTATGAGCAAGGTCGTGCTATACCAAGCAGTTCTACAGTGCTATTGCCATCCCAGTAGTGTCAGCTTGGCTCAGTTGGTAGAACCTCCGAGTCAGAGGGTTGTGGGTTCAACCCCGGCGGGACTTGGAACCCATATCGTTTATACGGTGTTGAGGATGTGCTGGATTATCAGAGGTGCCATCCATCCTTTAGATGAGACATTAAACCGAGGCTCCATTTGCCTGCGCAGGAATATGTTAAAGATCCCATGGCACTATTCAAAAAGTGAAGGGAGATTATCCCAACATCTTAGCCATTTCCTAAATAAAATTAGTCACTCACTCCATGGCTGTTTGCGAGATATTGCTGTACAAGCTGTAGAAGTCACACCACTTTACATTAGATCCCGTGAAGTACTTTGAGACGTCTCGACGATGTTATTCTTAGGGCGCCTGCAAATTGGTGTTTGGCATGCAACTTCATGTGCAAGCTTTCAATGATGTGGTAGTCTTTGCAAAAATAGGCACATTTGTACATCTGGGTCTCAATTGTGAGCCTAGGACCCACCTGAATGGCTGCGTGCCTTAGAACACGTGGACTTGAAATGAACCATCCCCTTCCAATCTTCAGACTTTACTGATTGATGCATGAGGCAGACAGAGGGCGAAACCTTGGGCAAGTTTCTTTACTCCACACGCCTAATAATAATCCCTCCAAATCCAAAAACAATAATAAATTGGTCATTTTCAATCCACGACTGTTTGTGGGACATTGCTGTGCGCAATTGGCTGCCGCGTTTGCCCACAAATATACAGTCAATTCACTTTACAGTGTATTCTGTGAAGCGCTTTGGGACGTCCTCCCGACGTGAAAAGCGCTATATCAAATGCAAGGATTATTATTATTATTGGATATAGCGTTTAGATATAGAACTTCACAGCATATACTGTAAAGTGAATTGAACTGTATTTTGTGGGTGAAACACGGTAGACCATTGTGCACAGCAATGCCCACAAACAACAACAACAATTTGTATCTATGTAGCGGTCCTTACGCAGGGTAGCATCCCGGAGTGCTGGACAGTGGCTGTTTATATTTATCTATATCGGAAATGCAAGGATTATTATTGACTATTATTAGCATAGGTTGCTGGCATGATTCACCTTGCCATTCCTAAAGTCAAAATCAAATCCTCTCATCTCTCAGACCCCAAAAACAGTTTTTTTGCCATAAAGCAATTCTATCTAATTCCCTCTTGAGTTTGCTGATGCAATGTGCCTCTGCTTGGTAGTCCAATTTTGTGTATTCACCAAGGCTTGATTTAAAGTAATTAAACTTGTCTATTCACCTTTTCCCTTCTGAGCTCAGCATTGATCAGACAGTCTGGTCAAGGACATCTTTTTAGATCTATAATCTCTTCCCTTGGAGATCCAGACAATCTAAAATTGCTTAGATGGCTTCTATTGTCTAGGCTGTCCATTTTTTTCCCCCTGTCACCATTTTTCTTTTACCAGCTCCATTCTCTATCTCAACATGGCCTGTGATTGAAGAGGGGTAAATTCAAAATAAATCTGTGGAAACACTATTTAAGTGAAGGAGTAGTAAACTTATGGAACAGGCTCCCCAGGGAGACGGTGGAAGCAGAAAGTGTTCATTCTTTCAAAAGCAAATCAGATACGAAGTAATATTCTGGGATACAATATATAGTATGGGACATGACATGTGCATGTGACTGCCTGGAAGGTGAACTGGATGGACCATGGTCTTCTTTCATTCAGCAGTTCTATGTTCTTATGTTCTCGAGTTCTTTCACTTCCTTCTCTATGTGTCACTGTTATCTCAGTCCATTTTTTTGGTGCTCCAGAATCTTATCTTCTCCAGAGCAGCTTTCATTTCTCCTCCAGGATCTTTTTCCTCTTGATTCTCACTATCTCTCTGTCTCCACTGTTTCATTCGCTCAGCTGGCTCCATGACCCTCAATCCCTCTGCTCCTCCATCAGTATTTTGATCCACTACGCCCCATAATTCTGGAACACTGCCTCAATCCTTTTGCCTTGCCCACCTTCAAATTACATCTGAAGACCTTCTTCTTTATCTGTGCCCATGATCACCTTCCCTATCTCTCTCGGGCTCAGCATCGAGCTCTGCCACTGGTAAGCACTCAAGACTACCCTGTATGAAGAGCACTATATACTTCAAGTTGTTTGATTACTTCAGATTACTTCAAAGCTCTTGCCTATAGATCCTTTCACTAACACCTCCCTATCTCTCTGATAGTCTCGTACCCCCACTCCTCTGCTCGCCCTCCCCCCTTCACTCAGAATACACAGGCTTTCTGTGCATCCCCCTGCACCCTCTGTACCACCATTGTGGCCAAGGCTTCAGTCACTAGACTCCTAACCTTTGATGCCCTCTGCCTCTACGCCCAACCTTACACCCTCTAATCTGTCGTTGAATCTGACCTTGAACACATTTTGACCAAGTCACCTCCCCCTCGTTTGGCGTTTTACCCTGGTGCTGTAAAGTGATATCTTACATGAAGGTGGCTAGATACATGTAAATTGTTGATATGTAAGGCTCAGTGCAAAGCATTTTCCTTTTTAGTCTTTGGCCCATTTCTTTTGGGGAGGGAGGAAGGGGATGAAGGGATGTTGCTGTTATACTTTTATACTTCCCACCACATGTGTGTCTAGATTCTGGTTTCATTTTAGGAGATTTAGTAGTGCTGTAATTGCTTTGGACTGCTCTGGAGCTCATTTGTACGTGGTGCACCTCTGTTCATATCATACTCTGAAGTTAAAGCTCTTACCAAGTCTTAAATGGTTTCATATGCTGTATTTTGCCCACACAATATACAGTCAATTCACTTTACAGTATATTCTGTGAAGTGCTTTGAGACGTCTCAGTGATGTGGTAAATGTAAGGATTATGTCTCAAGACCCTCCTCTTCAACCACCCCTTCGGTCACTCTCCTACCCATACCTTCCCTGCCCTCCAACCCTCCTGATCTCAACCTCCAGCTCGGGTCCAAATCTTTGACTGTCCAGCACCTCCCAATGTGAAAAGCGCTATACAAATGTAATTTTTTGTTATAATAATTATATGAACAGGCTTGTATTTGGTACGAACAAAATGGGGTTTGAACCCAAAGCCTTCCGACTCCCGAGGTGAGAGTTCTGAGTTAGCTGATACCTTGTGACCAAGGTGGTACTGTGAGGGTGTTGGGGGCAGACTTGTGCGTGACAGGTTTTAATTTCCCAATGTACACTTCTTTGTAATTATTAGGTTGATCAGTTGATACCACAATATTATTTTTTTAGAAAAAAACTTATACTATAACAAGTAATAAATGTACCGAAACACACAAAGAGACTGAAGGGTGTTGTGGAAATATTACGTTAATTGAAAGTTTTATTAATTAAAAATGTTATATTAAAAGACATCGGCATTTAATAAATAGTGAGTTGGGGTCTCATTGGCTTGAATCTTCTCCTTTGGAATTCATTAACACAAGCTTGTATCAACAGGATCGTTCAGAAGGGGAATCGGATAAGCATCTGGGTAGTGAAATCATTATGTGATGTAGGGAAAAAGCTGGAAAGTGAATTTAAGATTTAGCATAATCTGGTAGCATTCACGATGGCCCAAATTGATAATGGGAAAGCTTGCCAGACAGTGCTCTTAATAATAATAATAATATCCTTGCATTTGATATAGTGCTTTATCACATCTTTAAAATGTCTCAAAGTGCTTGACAGAAAATACTGCAAAGTGAATTAAGTGATTATTTTGTGGGGAAACTATGCAGTTACTATTAACTATTCTTAATGGCAAGCAATGCTGTTTTAACTAGTGAGACTCCAGCAGTACCTCCAATTCACATTCTGGGATACCCCAAGCCTTGGCTCTTGCCAGCCTGTGCCTAATACTCCCAGAATTAGGTAAACAGGATGCGTCCTTCCAGAAGGAAAGTGCGCTTTTCATTCCAACAATCTAGGATTTCCATGTATAGGTGGGACGTAAGCTTTCCCGCTGCTTGTCCAGCTAGGGCCACCCAACCCATTGGGGCTTTGGTTTGCAGGGTCAACAGGAGCTGAGTGGGATGATTCCCTGATTCCAGTGACTAGTAGAAATTTACAGTACAGAAGACTATTATGTCCATTGTGTCAACTTCGGTGGGGGGTGTTAATACACTTCCCCCTTTTTCTGAAGCTTCCTGAAGAATTTCTTTGAGCAGTGACCCAATGTACTTTGTGGAGCTTGCTGAGTGTCAAAGATGACATTGGCAGCAGCAAATAATGTTCTGCAAGTAAATTATTCAATGTGGTAGCCGTTCCTTTCCGCGCATATACTTATCGGAGAAGGTGGGGTGGTGGAATGGTAGGATAACATCTGAGGATAAATCGTGCACTTTAATAGCAAGGTTTTCAGCTAAAACTGGTCATCTGATTCAGTGGAATTCAGGGCTCCTCTGAAACGCTCATTTTGTGTCGTGTTTGTGTCGATCCAATGTAATAATGCTGTGAATTCCTCTTCTGATAACTAGCAAACTTTTCAACATTCTTTGGTGCTAGATGTTTTGATTATATATAACGTGAACATTATTATCCTCCTCGTATTTTCGTATTCCAGTTCTCCGCTACGTCTTGTAAATCTCTTCACTCACTGGCACCTCCCTACCTTTTCCTACCTCCCCACTCCCCAATAGACCACCTGGCACCTCCACACAACTGGCACCGGCCTCCTGCTTGTCCCTCGCACCCTCTTCCCACCATCAGAGGTCACGCTTTCAGCCACTACGCTATGAAACTCTGGAACACTCTCCCTGCGTGGAGTATATCAGGCCCAAACGTTCTGTGTCCCTGCATTATCCGCTCTTCCTCTGTGACCTCCTAAAACCCTATCAACCAGTGAGGAGGTGAGGACTGGCTTGCATTGGAGGTCAGGCCTTTCTGCTGTCACCTTCTGGAATTCCATACCAGAACTCCTCCGTCTCGCCCCTCCTTTTCCTCCTTCAAGGCCCATCTCAAGACCTTTCTCTTTGACTATGCCTTCAATCATCTTCCCACCTCCACCCCACTTGCCCTCCATCTCTCTTGACTCCAGCTCGGGTGCAAACCCTTGACTATCCAGCGCCTTGGAAATGTGAAAGGCGCTGTATAAATGCAATTTGTTGTTGTTGGATCTCTGTTTGTAACTCTGCCCAGATGCAAATCACCCACAGGTTGTGAGGAACGTGTCAATATCTCCAGCATCTGAAAGAACCCATTGCTCCACACGGACACGTTGTACTTGTTGAAAACACATTGAAATGAGTTTTTGTTTCCTCAGGTGAAGAAAGCCTTCTTTGCTTTGGTGGCGAATGGTGTGCGGGCAGCCCCACTTTGGGAGAGTAAAAAGCAAAGTTTTGTAGGTGAGTGAAGCACACACACAGTAAAGCTTATAACATTTCTTTCTCCCCATCCCACGACTTCCAATTTTGCTTTCCTTTCCTGTTGAAGTTTTTTAATATATACAGTGAAACTCACAAGTTGTTTGGATCTGGAATCCATTGCCTGAAAGGGTGGTGGAAACTGATTCGATGGTCCCGATTGAAATGGATTATTTGAATTTTACTGTAAAAATTGCCATGTGCCCTCGATTCCTCCACCTAAGTTGCTGGTCTCCACATAAGAGTTTGGAAGGCAAGGGTTTGTGGGTTATTTTGCTGTGGAGGCACTGTAGCTGAGCCTGAGGTCCACATGCATGCATTTTCCCTCGGAGTTGCGAGATGCAGAAGGTTATGCCATCGATGCTCGGAGCTAGGGAAGGAATTGGAAATCAGCTGTAGACCAGAATCCGAGCAACAAAAGGCAGGAGATAGATTTGTGGTTTCCATAGTTAGGAAGGAGGCGAGATTGTGAATTTGAAAGTGTTAGGACAAGGATCTTAGTTGATTTGTCAGGGGTATTGGGAGCCAGTGGAGGCTGGTGAGGGTAGGGGAGGGTGGTGTGTGAAGATTGGTCCTGAGAGAACACAGGGACCAGAGTTTCTAGGAAAGACAAGGATAGGGTAGTGCTATCTAGTATAATATAATACTTGCATTTGATATAGCACCTTATCACGCTGTGTCTCAAAGCACTTCCATCAAATATTACTGTAAAGTGATTGAAACTGTTACAGTATTTGTAGGCAATACATCAGCCATTTTATGCTCAGCATTGTCCCACAAACAGCCATGAGGTGAATAATGTTTTTTGTGCGGGAGGAATTCTTGGCCAGAACGTTGCGTGAAATTCCTTTGTTTTTTCAATACTAAGACTGTATCTTTAACATCCACCTATACAGGCACAGACAGGTCCTTGGTTTAATGTCTCATCTGAAGAACGGCATCTTATGAGATTCCTGACATGACGTCTCAAAGTTCTTTACAGAATATATTGTAAAGTGAATTGACTATATTTTGTGGGCAAAAAGTCACAACCAATTGCAACAGCAGTGTCCCACAAGCACTCGTGGATTGAGTGACCAAATGTAATTATTTTATTTATTCTTTGAAGGGATTATTAACCCCCTGGAAAGCAATCTGCCATTCGTCTAACAACTGGGTTCCTACTGACTGCTAGGTAAACAGGAGGCGTGTGGAGTAAGGAAACCTGCATAAGGTTTCGCCCTTCCCCAGGTATCAGACCCGGGCCCTCTTGCCTGCGAGGCAAGTGCTCTAACCGCAAAGCAACAGGTCTCCATAAATTGCACCCCGCCCCTACAAATTCCCCCCCCCCCCACCTTCCTGCTCCCTTAAACACTTCCAGGTGGTTTGTCTCTTGAAGGGTGGTGGAAACGAAGGGTTCTGAAGATGTTTCTCCAAGGGGTGTGACAGCAAATGGAAGAAATTGGTTTGTGGTGTTGGGGGGAACCATTTCACAGCTATTAACAGCCATGTGATGTGCTCGTTGGAATACTTGGTAGTGATTTATCATCCAAGCTAGCTGTATTATTAAACCCTCAGACAGCACTTTGTCCTGGTGTCAGCATAACCGTGCCAGCAATCCCGTTGAACTTTTCCCACATGTACTGTGCAATAAAACTGCAGGACCTCTAGCAGAAGTGTGAAACTAGCTCCATTCGACTTCCTTCAATGTCCTTTCATGCTGTTTATAGCTTTAAAACATTTCTGGTGTAGTGCTGTCTGGGGACTTGAAATATATAGCTAATGGGCATAACCTCAAGAGGTTAGTAATTGTCTCTGTGAACTTGCAAATGCATCTTTGGACCCCATGAACCCATGTGGAGTCCTGTAGCTTAGTTAGAGCACTTGTCTCACAAGCGAGAGGACCTGGGTTTGATTCCCAGGCGGAGCGATATCTTAGGCAAGTTTCCTTACTCCACACACTTCTGTTTACCTAGCAGTAAGTAGGACTGGTTGTTTGTCGATTGGGAGATTGCTTTCCGGGGGTAATAATCCCTTTAAAACAATAATAATAATAACTTGGTCACTCAATCCACGACTATTTGTGAGACACCGCTGTGCGCAATTGGCTGCTGCATTTTGCCCACAAAATATACAGTCAATTCATTTATATTCTGTGAAGCATTTTGAGAAGTCTTGATGACTTGATAAGGCACGATATCAAATGCAAGCATTATTATGTCATATTGTTGCTGTAAGTTTCATTACAGTACAATACATTTATATAGTGCCTTTCACACCAGGAGGAAGTCCCAATGCATTTAACATTCCTGGTTGGGCATCTGAGCTGGGAAGGGAGTCGAGGGATTCTTTGAAAGATGACCTTTTTCACACTCTTGAGCCAAGTTATCCTTTTGTTTTATATAAAGCTTGCTTCGGCATTCATTTGAGCTCGGATCAGTCTCCTGCACCAACGCAAGACACTATGGGCTGAGTGGCCTCCTTCTATGCTGTAAATATATCTGGAGATTCTATTCTTAGACCTCATTTAAAATCTCTGCACTTCATCTTTCTTCAGAGGTTAATGCTCTGAAATTCTTTTGACCGCTGCATTCCTCGAAGATTGTACCCTGCCTCGATGCCTTTTGGGCTTTAGCCTCATAATAATAATAACCCTTGCATTTGATATAACGCTTTTCACGTCGGGAGGACGTCCCAAAGCGCTTCACAGAACACACTGTAAAGTGAATTGACTGTATATTTGTGGGCGAAGGCGGCAGCCAATTGCACACAGCAATGTCCCACAAACAGTTGTAGATTGAAAATGACCAATTTATTATTTTTGGATTTGGAGGGATTATTATTAGGCGTGTGGAGTAAAGAAACTTGCCCAAGGTTTCGCCCTCTGCCTGCCTCATGCATCAATCAGTAAAGTCTGAAGATTGGAAGGGGATGGTTCATTTCAAGTCCACGTGTTCTAAGGCACGCAGCCATTCAGGTGGGTCCTAGGCTCACAATTGAGACCCAGATGTACAAATGTGCCTATTTTTGCAAAGACTACCACATCATTGAAAGCTTGCACATGAAGTTGCATGCCAAACACCAATTTGCAGGCGCCCTAAGAATAACATCGTCGAGACGTCTCAAAGTACTTCACGGATCTAATGTAAAGTGGTGTGACTTCTACAGCTTGTACAGCAATATCTCGCAAACAGCCATGGAGTGAGTGACTAATTTTATTTAGGAAATGGCTAAGATGTTGGGATAATCTCCCTTCACTTTTTGAATAGTGCCATGGGATCTTTAACATATTCCTGCGCAGGCAAATGGAGCCTCGGTTTAATGTCTCATCTAAAGGATGGATGGCACCTCTGATAATCCAGCACATCCTCAACACCGTATAAACGATATGGGTTCCAAGTCCCGCCGGGGTTGAACCCACAACCCTCTGACTCGGAGGTTCTACCAACTGAGCCAAGCTGACACTACTGGGATGGCAATAGCACTGTAGAACTGCTTGGTATAGCACGACCTTGCTCATAGTGCCCTGTGGACCTTTGTTAACCAGTGCTTAAGAAGTGACTGAGCCCTGGTTTGGCAGATCACTGATTGATGTCACTTCCTGCAGGCGCTGCACGGGAAACATCGCTGATGTCACTTCCTGCTCTTAGCACCCGTGCTTCAAATTAACTGATTGCTTGTCTGATTGTTTTATGAGTGGTTGCCGCCGCAGATTAGCTATTGCATTTGCCTATATACAATTTACTTTGTTTCTTATCAATTATATTAAATGTCAGCCTGGTTCAGTTGATAGCACTCTCGCACCTGAGTCAAAGTTGTGGGTTCAAGCCCTACATCGGTACTTTCAGCTCACATTGTGTAGGCTGACACTCCAATGTGCACTACATACTCAGAGAAGCTGTGGTTTGGATGAGATGGTAAACCGTCGTCTTGTCTGCCTGTTGAGGGGACATTAAAGATGCAGTGACACTTTCCAAAAGAGAAGGGAGTTTCTAGGCTGGTGTCTTAGCCAACACATCCTCCAAATGAAATTGGTCACTTATTCATGGCTGTTTGTGGCATATTACTGTTTTCAAACTAGCTGCTGTATTTTGCCCACAAAACACAAGTCAAAACCACTTTACAGTATATTCTGTGAAGCGCTTTGAGATGTTGTTTTAGTCTGATTCAGTGTAACACAATTCCGGTCATGTAAAGAAGTCGCAGTAAAGAACAACAGGTCAGGCAGCACCTATAGGGAAACAAATTATTCAATTCATGATTTCAATAATTTCAGACCATAACAGCTCACCTTCCCCNTCCCCTCTTCTGTGACCATTACTTTTCACTGGTCTGCCTGTCATGTGCAATTCCCCCACCCCCTTTGTTTTGCATCATTAAAACCCCTTTACCCCATCATCCCTTGTCCTCTACCCCATTTTCTCCTTTGTCTTCCTTGCCCTGCTTCCCCCTTCTCCATTAGCCCTTAAAAGCCTCTCCCTACCAACATGCCTCAGTTCTGACGAAGGGTCGTGGACCCGAAATATTGACTCACTTTCCTTTCTCCGTAGCTGCTGCCTGACCTGCTGAGTGTTCCCAGCGACTTCTGTTTTTATTTCAGATTTCTGGCTCGGTGACAGAAAGTAGAGGATAGTGGTGAAGGGTTGTTTTTCAGACTAGAGGGAAGCATACAGGAGTGTCCTCAGGGTTTTAGGTATTAGGTCCACTACTTTTTTTGTTATCTGTGAATGACTTGGGTACAGAGTGCAACATTTTGAAGTTTGCAGGTCACACAAAACTTGGGAGCGTGGTAAATAGTGAGGACTCCTTCTGTGCTGTAATATTCTTTGATTATATGATAACTCCAAACGCCTCTGTTTACCTACTCCACATGCCTATGTCTTCTTACTCCAAAACCCCGGGTCCTCTCGCTTGTGAGGTGAGTGTGCTAACCAATATGCAACAGGACTCCTGATATGATGGGGAGCTAACTGAATAGATCAAGAAGGGAAGGAGTGTGAAAT